CGCGGGTAAGGCTTTGCATATGCATTTGCCTGTGTAACTGCCTCTCATATCAAGAAGTAGAATATTTCCAGCTCCTCCCACCCTGATCCCACCCATGGCTCTCGCTTGTGTCCCTTCCCAGGCGGCATCTCCTCTGGACTTGATGATTTTCTTTTAGAAAATGGTTTAAAGCAAATTCGTTGTTGTTCAGTCGCTCAGTTGTGTCCAGCTCTTTGCAACCCCATGGACTGCGTCACGCCAGGCCTCCCTGCCCATCACCAACTCCCGGAGCTTGCTCAAACACGTGTCCATCGAGTCGGTGATGCCATCCAACCATCTCATCCTCTGTCGTCCCCTTCTCCTCCTGCCTTCAGTCTTTCCTGGCATTGACATGGTTTGACACAATGCTGATAAGATTTTCCAAAACTGGGTAGTGATGTGTTTGTGGGTGTTCAATTTTTCTGTAACCATTTGGGGATCCTTGACGTATTTCATCATCATCATCATCATCAAAGAGAAGAAGAGGACGTGTGCCAAGAGGCAGGGGAGCGACGCAGGCAGAGGTGCTGCCGCGTGGACATGGCATGGACAAAGATGCCCAGGCCAGAGGGGAGTTGCAGGTGGCCCTGGGACTCCTGAGAGCAGGCTCGTCTCTAAGGGAGGTTTCCAAGATGAGAGACACTTTTGGCCAAGTGTTCCCAAACTGTCAAGGTTTGGACACGGAGTCGCCCTGGAGGGTGCCTTTCGCCACCCCGCCCTCACAGAGGGCATCGGCGCCCGCCTGGCACAGTCAGTCGTGCCTTGGGCTGTTTGCAGGCCGGACTCAGAACCCCTGCCTACCCATTCTTTCTGGGCCATGAGCCGCAATCGTGCCCAGCACACCAGCCTGTTTGTGACTCCTCTGTGGGTGGCCCGAGCCTCGCGTTGTCCCAGCACAATCGCGGTGGCCGAGCTCTTGTGGGGAAAGTGGGGCAGGAAGCCCCGATCTAGGCCAGCCGCGCCGCGCTCCCAGCTTCCTGCTCTGCCCGATGTGCCGGGTGAGGCTGCCTTGTCCTCCCGCCCCGTCTGGGGAGGCTGAAGGCTGGACTTCCCGGCAGCATCACAGGCCCTGGGAAAACATCCTCTGGGAACTCCTGTCTGCTGAACCCCCCCGCCATTGTCTTTTAAAAAGAAGGATCATCAGTCTTCCTGTGACCCGAGCTGGGGTTCCACCATGTGTCAGGCACCCTGCCAGGCAGATTTTAACCCTTCCTTTGATTCCGGAGGGCTTATTGTGTGCCAGGCACAGGTCTAGGCCCTGAGGGTCCAGCTGGGAAGAAGACTGGCAAGGACCCTGCCCTCACGGAGCTCCCATTCACTTTATCCTAATACATTCTGAAAGTCGGGATGGTATGACTATGATCTATGGACCTGGGAAGAGTGAACTGAGACTCGGGGCTTCCCAGGTGGCACTAATGGTAAAGAACCCCCCTGCCAATGCAGGAGATGTAAGACACGCACGTTCTATCCCTGGATCGAGAAGGTCTGTTGGAGGAGGGAATGGCCACTTATTCCAGTGTTCATGCCTGGAGAATCCCGTTGACAGAGGAGCCTGGTGGGCTGTGCTCCATAAGTTCTCAAAGAGTCGGACACAACTGAAGCGACTTAGCATGCACACACGCATGCACGCAAACTAAGACTCAGAGAGACCGATGCACTTTCCTGAGGTCACACAGCAGGAAGGAGGAGGAATGCAGTTTAAAGCCAAATCATCGGTTTCCAAGCCTGACCTTTGCTTTTGGATTGGGGTAAAGGTTTCATCCCAACCATGCTCCCTTATTTTTGCCTTTCCTCTAGGAGCTGGTGTAGATTGCTTAATCTCAGTCTTTTTGTCTGACAAATGGGCTGTTAATGCAAGATGAGAAGGTGATAAGTGCATGAAGACAAGGAGGGCATCCTGGAGGAGGTGACATTTGAGCTAAGGCGTGATGAATGAGAAGGAGCTGGCCCAGAACAGAGGTGGGAGAACATATCCTGCCAGTAGGAGCAGCATGTGCAAAGGTCCTGAGGCAGGGGTGTGCCTGGCAGGTGGAAGGAATAGAGAGACTGAAGATGTGGCTGAAGATTATTGAGGTGTGAGGTGGGAATGGAGGGCTAGAAGGTGAGTTCAGAGAGATTAACTAGTGCATGGGGACCTTATGGACTGTGGGAAGATGTGATTTTTTTTTTTTTTTAAGTATATTGAGTAGCCATGGAAAGTTGTAAGCCATGGATTGGTAGGATCTGATTCACATACTTAAAAGGATCCCTCAGGCTGTGTGTGGAAAAAGGAATAGGAAGGAGGGAATTTCAGTCCAGGCAGAAGGCAATGGTAACTTGGACCAGGCAGGTGACTGAGGACATAGGGAGAAGTGGTTTGATTTAAAAAACACGTTGCAAGTGAAGCTGTGATAGCATTTGCTGATGGATGGAAATGGAGTGTCAGAGAAAGAGGGGGTGGAGGATGACTGGAGGGCTTTGGTTGGAGATCCTTAATGGCAGAGTGCCATTTGTCAGGCTGGGAAGGGCTTGGTGCTGTGTGGGTTTGGAGGAAAGTTCAGGAACTAGGTTTGGGGTGCATTTAGTTTGAGATGGCCCTTGGATGTCTGGCCTTTTCTGGTGGCTCAGATGGTAAAGAATCCATCTGCCAATGCAGGAAACCTGAGTTCTATCCCTGGTTAGAACTGGGAAGATCCCCTGGAGGAGGGCATGGCAACCTACTCCAGTATTCCTGGAGAATCCCCATGGACAGAGGAGCCTGATGGGCTACAGTCCATGGGGGTCACAAAGAGTCAGACACGACTGAGCGACTGATGCTGACCCGGACATCTAGGAGGAGTTGTCCAGTTGTCAGGAATCCAGCCGAGTCTGGATGTGTGAGGCTGGGGGTGTACACTTGGGATGCAGGGACTGGTCGTGAATGCATCGCAGTGAGCGTGGACAGAGAGGCAAGACCACCTTGCTGTCCCCAACTTTGCTCTCCGAGACCTGCCCTGTGGAGCGCCGGTGAGCGTCTTCCTTGGGAGAGCAGAGTCCGCAGGTGCCCAGGCTCCCGTGACATCCGTGGATGTCCTTTTGGGTGACGGGAAAGGATCCGACAGCCGCCTCCCTGCCCGCCTGCCCCTGCTTCGCTCCGTCCTGGGCCGTCCCCTCCAGCTTACCCACTCAGAGGTTTCCCCTGTGTCCCACCAACGCGCTGTGGCGAGGGTGACCGGCAGGCCACCGTGCCGCCTCCTGATCGTAAGTTGTCTTCACAGGGGGCTCCTTGTGGCTGTTGCCAGGTCAGCCTAGGGAAAGTGCTGGAGTCGGTGCAAAGCTCAGTCTCCCTCAGGGGCTGGCTTTCACCCTCCCCCTTACCCCACATCCAATCCCCTGGCCCTTCCAGGGGCCTCAGAGGCGCGTCCGTCCCACCCACGCCAGGGCCAGGCCACTGTCATTGCTCATCAGCGTGGCTGCACCCCTCCACTCTAGTCCCCAGCTTTTGTGCTCAACCCCTGAAACCTAGTTCCTTGCAAAAACAGATGGCTGTTCTGGCACCATTTAAACGCTGGGAGGGACTTCTCTGGTGGTCTGGCAATTAGGACTCCGTGCTTCCTCTGCAGGGGCATGAGTTTGATCCCTAGTCAGGGAACTAATACCTCATATGCTGTGTAGGATGGCCAGAAAGTAAAACAACAACAAAAACCCCAAAAGCTTTAAAAATAATAGTAATAAAAGCTGGGAGACTTTGCTTTTTTTTAAAAAAAAACCCAATTTATGGCTTCTTTTGGGGAAGAAAAAAAAATAACTCCCCCAGAACACCTGGCGATCCGGGCATGCTGCCCTCCCACATGGCCGCACTTGGAGGGGACGCACGGCCGCCCCCTCTTCAACGGGCGTGTGTTCACCTGTTCCCCACGACGACCCTTGCCAGGCCCTTCCTTTATTGCCTCACGTCACGGAAGGGGGAAATGATTTCTCTGTTCCAAGCCCTTGAGAAAAGTGGCAGAAGGGCTTGGATACAACCGCATCCTGGGCAGCCATAAAGGAGAATGGGGATGTTGCCTGGGTTGTGATGTGGAGGGATCTTTCAGCTACACTCCGTGGAATAAGTAGGTCCAGGGCATCCTGTGTATGCTGCTATCTTTGGGTGTGTGTAATGGGGAAAAGAGGAATATATGCATGTGTGTGTGTACGCATAGATTTGTATGTGTGTTTATTTTTTCCGGGCTTTGTCGGGGTATCATTGACATATAACATTGTGTAAATTGAAGATGTACCACGTGCTTCAGTACATTTATATATTGCGAAAGGATTACTATCATAGTGAAGCTTTAAGTGTATAATAAGTTTTATTGCCTGTAATTGCTCTTCTGTACACTAGAGCCCTAGAATTAATTTTTCTAGTAATGGAAACTTGGTACTTTTTGACCAACCTGTGTGTGTTTATTTGGAAGGGTTCCCAAGTCACAAGGAGCTGTGGTTCCTGGGGAGAGGGAGGGACTAGATGGATGGGGGCTGGGGTGTAGGAAACCCACTTTTCCTATTTTTGACTTGATATATACATCTTTTTTAAAAATTAACAAATTAAAAAAATTGGGGGATTCGGGCAGGGATCGAACCCACGTCCCCTGCAGTGGAGGCGTGGAGTCCTAATCACTGGGCTACCAGGGACGTTCCTATAGTTTTGACTTTCGAGCCCCGTGCATGGTTGTTATTTAGAAGTTAGGTTTTTAAACAAGAAAAATAATGGGAAAACGAATTACAGTCCACCAGGGTCCCCTGGGCGAAGACGCAGGTGTGAGCACAGGTCCCTGGCGCAGGGTTTGTGTTGGTCTCTGCAGAGCCTGGCTGAGCAGGTGCTCCATAAACGCGTGTTGGCTGAACAGCCGGCCGAGTAGGTTTTTGCTTCTTTCTTGCCCGTGTCCAGGGCCGTGCTGGCGCTTGAACTCGTGACCTTCCTTTTCTGCCACCTCCAGGGGACTGGCAGCGTGGAAGCTCACCTCCCTGCTTCTGTCTTCCAGGCATTCCTGCATCGCATTCGGCAGAACGCGGCGGACTCGGTGGAGAAGGGCCTGACGGAGGAGAACGTCAAGGTGGGGGCCCGGGGTCCCTGCTGCCCCGGCTGCTGTGCGCAGAGCTGCCTTGCTCCCCCTGGGTGATGCCCGGAGGGGCCGCGGGGGTGGGGGTGGGGGTGCTCCCTCTTTCCGCACCGCCCCCCCACCCCCACCACCACCCGGCTTGCTCCCTGTGGCCCCTGGGTTCCGTGAGCAGGCCGTGCTGGGGGTCTGTGAGGAGGACTCGGCCTCAGGCCCCCACTTCCCAGCTCAGGAGTTTTCTCCCCTCGCTCAGTACAACCATCCTGTCTTTTGGCCTCCTTGCTCGGGGGACCCTGGCTTGATGCCAGTGGAAAATCCCTTCCCAAGTGCCCCTGGGAGCGTGGCACCTCCAGCCGCCCTCCTGGCAGCCCGGGCCCCTGCCCTGCACTGGGCGTTGAGCGCGAGGCGGAGCGGATGAGTAACTGGGTGCAGGCTGCATCTTGGCTGTGGCTCTGGGGAGTTTCGGGAGGAAGTCAATAGGCCTTCTGTGTGCTCAGTATGGGCCCCAGAGGCCCTCAGGCCTGGCTTTCCAGGGTGATCTCACTCTCTGAGAAGCTGCCTCCAGCCCTTTGGGGCTCTGGGGTCCTGGTGCCCGGAGAGAGGGGGAGTTGGGGCAGGGTGGGAGTCAGCTGTGGCCAGCACGTATGGCTCATAAAGGGCTTGATCACACTGGACATCCCCCTGCATACATCCTGGTTGATAAGAATAGCAGCCTGGTACATTGATGATTCTGAGTCCAGTATTTTGGATGAGAAAGCTGAGACTTAGAGATGTAAAGAGACCTACGCAGGGTGAGTGCATGGCTGGTTCCTGGTTGGGCTGGCATTGAACCTTTTATGCATTCACTCAGAAAGCAAATATTTACTGAGTCCCTGCTGTTCATTAGTCTGTTACAGTCTTTATTTATTGGCTTCCCTCGTGGCTCAGTGGGTAAAGAATCCACCTGCAGGAGGCGAGGGAGACTCAGGTTCAATCCGTGGGTCCCTGGAGGAGGGCATGGCTACCCACTCCTATATGCTTGCCTGGAGAGTCCTATGGAAGGAGGAACCTAGCAGGCTACAGTCCACAGCATCACAAAGAGTAGGACATGACTGAAATGACTGAGCACATTTATTTATTACGTCCTAACACGACGCATGATAATTAAGAATTGTAATTTATTGCAGTTTGAAAAAATTACCTCTTTTACGAGGTGTAATTCATATAAAGTAAAGGGTCCAGTCCTAAGTGCAGCTCCTTACTACATGCCTCCTCCCCAAAGACAAACAGTGACTTCTAGCGGTGTTGGTTAGCTTTGCCTTTTCTTGAACTGTGTATAGAAATGATCCCTTTGTGGTGCCTGGCATCTTTGTTCACTGTTAGGTCTGGGAGACTTGCCCTTTTTTTTTTTTTTTTCAAGAGACTTGCCCTTGTTGTTTGGTGTAGCTGGGAGTCACTCCTGCTCCTTGCTGTGTAGTAATCCATCGGATAGACGCACCACTGTTGACTCATTCATTCTCCTTTCGGTGACCATGTGTCACCGAATTTCTAGTTTTTGGCTGTGATGACTGTTCTCATCTGTCTTTGGGGGGTACACAGGCTCTCATTTCTTTGGGGTGTATGCTCAGGAGACAGACACTTATCTTGAAATTCTGCAGCCGTTGCTTGACGTGAGTGTAAGAATAGGATGTATCCTATGGGTCTTTAAGCACACTCAGCCATGTGAGCTGGACAGAACAAGAAAGAGAAAAATAACCCAACAGTGCGGGTGGTTCTTCCAGCTGCTTCATGTGGCCAGTGACCCCCAGGATAAGGTCGAGGAGGAAGAGGGTCTCTGGCCCTCTGGGACTTCGGCTCTGACGCGTGGTCTCCGGCCCCTTGGCCTCCCTGCCCACCCTCAGGGCCTGGTGCCTTTGCAGGGTCTGTGGGGTCGGTCCTCATTCCTCAGGGTCTTGACTGCAGTGTCAGCTTTCCAGAGCAGCTGTCCTTGGCCCGCTGTGTTTAATGTGCAGACTCTTCCTCCTGCTCCCCCCTGGGATTCCCTTCCTGATTTCGTCCTGAGTGCTTCTTGTCACCTGGAAAACTGTCCTTATTTGTTGGCTGTCCGTCCCCTTCCAGTTGAATGTCAGCTGCCTGGAGGCAGGTGGGGGGCTGTTCTCTTCTGGTGCCCAGGCCTGGCCCACGGTAGGGGCTCAGTTAGCACTCGCTGCAGGAATGACTGTGTAAGAAACCCTAGAAGGAGCTGTAAGTCACAGTGACTGGTGACCCGGGCCACTAGCTGCTGCGGGTGGGAAGCAGGGGGTGGGCCAGAGAGGGACTCCGCATTGCATTTACTGGGGTGCTCAATACAATATTTAGATTTTTGAACCCTGTGAATGCCTTCTTCAAAATTAAATGAAAAATATACCTGTTTAAAAAAAAGGCAGAAAAAGGAATTTCACAGTTCAAAGGGCCTAGAATCAATGGAAATTCTCCCTTAGTTGTTCTTAGAGGCCTTGATGGTTCCCAGTTGGTGTTATTGTCCAGGGGTCTCTGCTTCTGCCAGCACAGAGAAGAGTGGCCTTTGCGTGTGTGTTATCTTACACAGATGGATCCATATTGGAATTCCAAGTGGTGCCATGATTTCCCCCACCCCCGACCCCCACTTAACAGTATATATCAAGGATCATTCCAGGGCTCCAGATCCATATATACAAACCTGCAGATTCTTTTCACAGGCTCAGAGTATTTCAGAATATGGGATGTATTTAAATATAACCGGTCCAGCTTGTTTAACTATTTGACAGGTGCCCATCAATGCATGTTTAACTTTCTTCTGGTCTTCTGCTACTGCAAATAAAGCTGCAGTTTATGGTCTTGGCCATCCACCCAGTTCTCAGCCTTGGTGCAATGAACATGTTGGGCTGGACAGTTCTTTGCTGTCGAGGGGGCTGTCCTATATCTTGTAGAATGTTCAGCAGCATCTCTGACCTCTTCCTATCAGAACACCAGGAGCGTCCTGATTTGTTACAGCTGAGTTTGTCACAATCGAAAATGCCCCATACATTGGCAAATGTCCCCTGGGAGGCAAAATTGTCCCTGCTTGGAAATGACTGATCAAAAGGTTCAATTCTAAAATACAGACTTGCTGGGCTAGATTGTGCCTTTCAAACTTTATAGGTTCTTCTGGGGGAAACACTCTTGTGTGGTTTGTGAAGGTTTAAACGGCATTTTGATCTTTCTTCTCTATAGTATTTTCTTATGTCACATCATTTCAATTGGTGTCTGGAATTACCTTCACCATTTAAAAAAATCAGTCCTATGGTTGGACATACCAGGTGCCTGTCTTAGACTGCGATGAATGTCACAGTGTGTGATCTTCCGCACGCTGAGTGTGAAGTTCACGTCTGTCTGCTGCTTCACTGGCCTGTATGACCTTGGGAAAGTTAATAATTTTCTCTGAGCCTCCGTTCTTCATCTGTGAACTGGGGATGAGAACCGTTCCTGCCTCATGGAGTTATACTGAGGATTAGATGCCATAAATGCACATAAAGTTCTTAGCGCAGGATTAGGCGTTAATCCTGTTTGGTGAATGTTGGCAGTATTTTTGTTATTATCGTGATTTCTGTGAGCCCGTTTCCCTGTGTCCTCCTCGCCTGCGCCAGGGAGTTACGTATTTTTTTTAAGGCTTCAGATTGCTTTCCCTCTGAGCCTGGATTGATGCTGTCCTTGGGCCTCATGTTCCCCTCGCAGATCCTGTTCTCGAACATCGAAGACATCCTGGAGGTTCATAAGGATTTCCTGGAGGCCTTGGAGTTTTGCTTACACCCGGAGCCTCAGTCTCAGCATGAACTTGGGAATGTGTTCTTAAAATTCGTGAGTACAATGCCCCAGCCCCTGTCGGAGCCTGTAGGTTTCAGAGAATGGGCTTTTCCCTGGACCCCCTTGACCAGTTTCCCCTGCGGGCCTGTCTTGGCGATGGAGAGGCAGGTGGGCAGGCAGGCCCAACCTCTGTCCCTGCAACACCGGGCAGAGTGTCGACCCCAGCGGACCAAGGGTCTGTTTATTAGCTGGCTCCCCTCCCTTCAGCGTCACCCGGAGTGTGGTCCCCTCTCCCTCAGAACTCTTCACTGAGTGACTGCATTCTGGGGTTCCTGTGGCCACCTGGCTTGGCGGGGCCCCGGGGTGGACTCGGATCAGACACACCAGCGTTTGAGTCCCGGCCGGGCCACCCGCTGGCCGGTGAGGCTGTTGACCCCTGGGCGCCCACTGGGACTGCAGAGACAGAGGCTGCATCTGGTTCTCATGGCCGCTGTCTTCCCAAGTCACTTAGGATTGTGGGAGGGCGTCTGGAGGGAGGCGGTGGGCTTAGCCCGCAGGAGGCACCTGCTTTTCCACGCCTGCTCATCCTGTGCCGCCCGGGACCCTCCCGCCGGGAGGAAACCCGCCCTGGACTCGTGGGCAGGAGGCCTGGGCCAAACTCCTCTGCTCCCCTAGCCTCAGTTTCCTCCTCTGATTGAGAAGTAGGGATAATGATGCCTCCTTGGGTTGATGGAAAGACTCAAAGATGTAAAGCGATCAAACGTGTAGCCTAGGGCAGCGGTCCTCAAACAGGGGGTGATTTTGCCCCCAGGGGACGTTTGGCCACATCTGGGGACACTTCCGGGTGTCCCAGCTCGGGGAGGGAGGCCATGCTACTGGCTCCTCGTGCATGGAGGCCAGCCATGCCAGCAGTTAGCCCATAATGCACAGGATGGTCCCCACAACAGAGGCTTATCCCGCCTCGAGTGTCAGTGAGATGAGAGACTGTGGCCTGGGGCAAGGGCTTGGTCCGTGTTGGCGCCTGCTTCCATTGTCACTGTCATCCTCACTAACTCCCTTCTCCAGGGTGTCACATCTGGATGGAGGAGGGCGGAGCCGGGCTGCCCATGGGCTACGTTAGCCTCTGCAGGTTGTTTTAACTTGTCTGTGCCTCAATGTCCTCACCTGTAGAATGGGTATAAAACTAGACCTGACCCGTGATATTGTTGAGGATCAGGTTTGTTAATATAAGGAAGGAGAAGGCTCAGAACAGCACACCAGGAAGTGCTCACTAAATAAATGTTGGTTATCAGCTGTCCATGTGGCCACTGTTCTTCAGTGTCTGAAATAGGATGAACACAAGAGAGAGACGGGACGCAGGTGAGCCGGGCACTCAGGGAGGGCGAGGAACAGGGCAGGGAGGTGATCTGCTGCAAGGGAGAGGCCTGGAGGGGCGGGGGAGGCGGGGAGACCAGGAGGAGGTCACTGCACGTGTGAGATGCTGGTGCCCTTGGGTGGAGTGGTGTCCATAGGGGTGGTGAGAGGGGTGAGCAGCAGTGTTGGTTCAGGACACGTTTCTTTTACTTGTTTACCTATTTTTTTTATCTTTTTTTGGCTGCTCCTTGAGGCTTGCAGGATCTTAGTTCCTTGACCAGGGATGGAACCTGGGTCCCAGCAGTGAAAGCACAGAATCTTAAACCCTGGACTGCCAGGGAACTCCCAGGACACGTATCTTGAATAGGAAAATAAAAAGGATGGGAGGGGCAGTCTTCCATTTGGGTTCAGAGGAAGGAGTGAACCCCCATTTCTCTAGAGCCAGACTGCTTCTGTATGATTCCCTGTTCTACCCCTGAGAAGCTGAGAGGCTTTGGGCAAGTCAGTTCACCTCGCTGGGCCTCAGTCTCTGACTCTGTAAAACGGGGGCAGTGATAGTACTTGCCGTGGGGTACCGTCATGAGGATGAAATGAGTTAATTCGAGTGAAGCAGTGAAATCTGGCCTGGCGCGAGTGTCATCTGTGGGCGTTATTCCAGCTGAGGGACCAGGGAAGGCTTCCGGGAGGCAGTGGCATTGTTGGGATGGCCTGTGAAGGCATCTGAACTGGAAGTGGAACAGTCCATACTTGAGCTGAGGGCGGGGAAGGGGTCCTCAAGGTGCATCATCCAGCTTGCCACTAACCCCAGGCTCCCTGGGTCCCCCGACTTCTCTGCCTGAGCGGCAGAGGTGTGTGGGAAGCAGGTTTAATAGACCAGCCAGCGAGGTCTCTGGATCGTGAGTCCCCACCGGGGCTAATTTGCTCAGAGATGCAGGGGATGGCTGGAGGAAGGAAGGTGGGGAGTTTAGGGCCCAGGAGGCAGCCTTCTTCTCCGTACCCTTCTGTACTCAGCCTGCAACCCTCCTCACATGGCCTCAGTGAACTGGACGATCAGGGCGGCAGTGTTTATCCTCAGAATCTTGATGTGTCGACAGTGAAGTTCAGGCCTTTATGGGAGAGCCAAACAAACTTATTTAAGAGGGAAATTTGCATCATTACTGGGTTTGGAAAGTGAGTGTCTCTCGCTGTTAAAAATAAATGCAGTGGAAGCCAAGCTGTGTTACGGCATTCCTTCCAGAAACTTCTGCTCATCTGCGTCTCTGAGCTGACACCTGCTCAGGTGAACAGTTGGAGAAGGAAATGGGAACCCACTCCAGTGTTCTTGCCTGGAGAATCCCAGGGACAGAGGAGCCTGGTGGGCTGCCGTCTATGGGGCTGCGTAGAGCCGGACACGACTGAAGCGACTCAGCAGCAGCAGCAGCAGATGAACAGTGTCAGACTGGCTTTGGTGTCTCGCCACAGCTTGCTGACACCCTCCCTGAGGTTACCGAGACAGCTGAAAGTGGAGTCCGCTTTCTCAGTGGGTGACTCGGAGTTTTTAACTTAAACTCATCTTTTTCATTAAAATATTGCGGTCGTCACCCCCTGCCCCCCATACTCATGGAGGATGCCGCTGAATTCTTTTCAAAAGGGTCCACTGCTGTAGGGTTGGGTGTCTGGAAGCCCGAGGCCTGCGTGCAGCTGGCCTTGTTGGAAGCAGTTCAAGAAGAAGGTTGCAGTCTCCACTTGGCCTGACCCCACCTGGGGTTGAGGAAACGCTGGAGCTGGGGGTGCCTCTTCCTTCAGGTCACCCCAAATTGCCACGAAGGAATGGGGCTTCTGCACCCCTCTTGGATGGGGGCTGTCCTGGGGAGTGGATGGACAGCCTCAGGCAGGCCAGGTGCTGTCTCAGACTGAGGGGGTTCCCTGGGGAGGGATGCATGGATGGGATACGCTCGCCACCGCATCCCTGAGGGCCCCGAAGGGAGGGCGTGCCCGGGCCAGCAGGACTGCTCCAGGGTGGCGATTGGGAGCAGAGCTCTGCGGCCGAGGAAGGGGCATCTCAGACCCTGTGAGGGGCTCTGGCTTACAGACCAGCCCACCCCTGCTGCCCAGTCAGTGGACGGTGGGAAACTCCATCACCCCCTCACCCCTAGGCCCAACCCGTGACTACTGAGATGATCACAAACTAGCATTCAGTCAACTTTCTCTTTGTCCCAGGTGGTGTTCTGAGTGCTTTATGTATACTAATTCATCACAGCATCACAACAACCTTTAACCGTGGGTACTATTATTATACGCACTTTACAGATGCAGAAACTGAGGCCCAGAGAGGATAAGTCAGTGTGCAAGTTTACCCAGCCAGTAAGTGTTGGAGCTGGGATTTGAGCCAAAGTCGTCTGATTCTGAGTCTCGTGGTTTTCACCATTCTCCATGATAAAGTCTCTTAATAGTATCATTAAGCATCTACTGTGCACCAGTCACTGCTTTTGGCCCTGAAGTTGGTGCCCTAAATAAGACAGACCTGCCTTTTGCTGCCATGAGGCTCTTAGGCCAAAGATGTGGAGGGTCCATCAGTTGAGAGAGGATGTCATTGCAGATGGGGACGTGGATTTGTGAAGAATACACGATGCATGTGTAAGGAGTAACTCCTTGAGGTTGTATGAAACTTGGAAGTCAGAAATAGGGTTGCTAGATTGAGCAAGTAAAAACACCTAGGATGGCTGAGATAAATTTGGATTTCAGGTAAACAGCAGATTATATTTTAATGTAAGTATGTTTCATATGGGCTTCCCAGGTAGCTCAGTGGTGAAGAATCTGCCTGCTAATGCAAGAGATGTGGCTTTGATTCCTGGGTTGGGAAGATCCCCTGGAGAAGGAAATGGCAACCCAATCCAGTATCCTTGCCTGGAAAATCCCATGGACAGAAGAGCCTGGTGGGCTACAGTCCGTGGGGTCACAACGAGCTGTACACAGCTGAACAACTGAGCACGCACACAGCATGTATTTCATACGATGTTTGGGACACACGTATCCTAGAACACGCTTCCTGGTTTATCTGAGGGCCCTCAGCTCAGTGTCCTGTGTTTTATCTGGCCATCCTGGTCAGGGAAGGCCTCTGTGAGGTGGTGAAGTGGGGGATCTCGGGGGAGGATATTCCACATGGAGAGGAAGCCAGGACTGGGGGCCTTGGCTGGAGCGGGCTTGGTCCACAGCGGGCAGGCAGGGAGGCCAGCATGGCTGGAGCAGAGTGAGTGATGGAGGGAGACCAGGGGTGTCATGGTCGGGGGGATGGCGATCCTGCAGGGACTGCATTCTAAGAGTTGGAGGGTTTAGCAGGATGTGGTGTGGTCAGCTGTGTGGACAGGCGGATGATCAGTTGGGGAAAGTGACCTGAATCTCACACTCTTCTTCCTACCAGAGGTGTCTGCATGGCCAGCTCCTTCCCTTCTCAGTGTTTGTGGGTGTGAAGTGTGGCTGGGAGCAGATGGTCTCTGTGGAGCTAGTGACATTCCGCGCCCCCTCCCCCCGGGTACTGTGGACAGCAGCCACCCAGCTGATGACCCTTGAGCCCTTCCTCGGGGTCTCAACCCTCTCCCCCAGCCGTCCCCAGCTGGCAAGCGTCCCCTTCTCTTCTTTCACAGCCCAAACCCACTGCCACGTGCTCCCACCTCCCACATCTGTGTGTGCACAACTGTGTGTCCATTTCCTCCTGGCCAAACAATCAAAGCCCCGTGTAGGGCCCCTAGGAGGAAACAGAATGCTTGGCCTCTTCGTTGTCAAAGGCGGCATTTTCACACTTGCTGCATCTTGGGCCTGAGATGCAGCTGGGATTGGGCTCTGTAAACGGAGATGGGAGTGATGAAACTCGGCCTGGTTTTGAAGAGGGGATGTTGTCAGTTGCTAAATTTAACTTCTCCGAGCCTCAGACCTTGGTCCCCTGCCCTTTTCACTACGGAAGGAGAGGATGAGAATGTGTCAGAGAAGGGGCTTAAGGAACGAGGAATGACAAACCCGTGGAGATCTTCCCACTTACTCCCCTTTCGTGCATCCATCGCAGACATCACTAATCAATTACAGCATTCTCCATGGGGCTTCAGAGTTGTTCTCGCTAGTGTTTCAGCCAGCATTACTTATTGATTGGGGCTGGCATGTGAAAATGAACAGATTTGGGCTGTGCTTTTTGGATTAAGCCCTTCATGGTGCAGATAGAGATGAACAGGAAGACTGTGTCATCTCACCAGGCTTGGATCCGTTTTTTTCATTTTCTTCCCCTTTTAGAAAGTGCATATATTAGGACTGTCTTCACTGCAAGTGACGAAAACAACTCAAATAGGCTTAAACAACAGCAACAACAAAGGACTTAACTGACTCATACAAATGAGTAGTGTTGGTTGACGTCAGGTATAGCTGGATCCAGGATCCCATGTGATGTTTTCAGAATGTGGTCTTTATCTTTCGGCTCTGCTTTCCTCTGTTTTGGTTTTATTTCTTGGAGTGATGGCAGAGGTGGTCCTCAGCAGTTTCAGGGTGACAGTCTGCTCACTTAGAAACAAAAGTTCAAAGAGAGCTTCTCTTTGCAATAATTCCAGCCTGAGTCCTTGAGGGCTCTCTGGGACTTGGGTCACATGACCACTGCTGCCAGGACTGGGCCTGGGCATCATGCTCACCCCTGGTGCCTGGGGGTGGAGTCGAGTCAGTGGGGTCAGAGTGTAGGAGGCAGGCGCCCAGGGGAAACACTGGGGGCTGAGACCAGAGCCAGGGGGCGTGGGTGCTGGGTGGGTGGAAGAACATACGGGCGAACCACGAGGCTGTGTTGTGAAGGATCAGAGGAAGAGTGAGGCTGGTATGAGGGTCTTGGGCACCACACAGCTCCCCCGGCTGCTCCCTCGCTTCATTTGTCAAGTAGGTGTCTCTTCTCTGTCTGGGACTTCAGTCCTCCCTGGCATCGCAGCCGTGACCTCAGCAGGTGCAAACCCTGCCTCCAAGGAGATCCTTGTCCAGGCTGTGGTGGTGGGGAAATGGACAGTGCAAAAATGAGACATCAAACCTGCTGGGGGGCAAGAGTCACCATATTTCACAAAATCCGCCTGGTGCCTTCCTTGGCGCCCTGCCCCAGAGCCACGAGTCCACTTCACTCTCTTCCTCCTGACTCTGCCCATCAAAACCTACCCACCCCCTGCCCCACTTCTCGTATTGTAGATGGGTTCACCAATGGGATAGTGAATTTGCGGAAATAATAGCGATAGTCATCATAACAACGTCGACAACAGCAATAACAGTAGTTGTTGATAGTCAAGGAGTCCTTTCTGGGCACTCTTTTACACATTTACTATAAATTCACTTGATGACCCTCACAACAACCTTACGACCGGGAGGTCATCACCGTCGGTAATTTATAGGCCCGAATGCAGAGACTCTGAAATTTTACGAGGTCACAGGGCTCGGAATCTGGGCTGTGAACCTGGGTGGTCTGGGTGTAGAACCTGGGCTCGCACTTAGGAGGCTGATGCAGATGGTGGTCGCGAGGGCTTTGCTGTCTTACCTTGGAGCTATACTAATAGCAGAGCCTGTGGTCTCTTGGCTGTAGAACCGGGCGTCAGTATGGGGGTTGAGAGAGGTCGAATCCTGTTCTGCCGCTTCGCTAGGGGTGAGGCCCTGGAAATCAGCCTTTCCTTGGTTTCCCACGTGGGTGAGGGGTCGAATACAGTTGTCCGCGTGTCAGGGGATTGTGAGATGTGGGTGAGTCTGCCTGCATTCCAGGGCAGCGTGGGGTGGCCAGTCCTGACCCCTCCGCGCACGTTCCGTGTTGGCCGCGGGCTCCATCTGTAGGCTTTTTGCAGCTCAGATGGTGCACACGCAGCCACAGACGGGGCTTGCTGATTCCGAAACCTCTGCCCACTGGCAGGATGACTGGGGGCTTATTTAGAAACAAGATGAGCTGCTTACCTTGCAGACCCACCTCTTCCTTCCTAAGCTTCTTGGGGTCTCCCGGCCACCCCTTCAGCCCGAGGTCAAGAGCCGTCAGCCCTTCCTGTCCTGTGGCCTTCCCCAGGACATCCTTGTTTGGGGTTTGGCGGGGTGGGAGGAGGTATCCTTTAAGCCTTTGGAAACTGAGACTGCTCGGTGGAGAGCTTCCTGCGAAGACGGCTCCTGGCCCCTCCAGTCCCGGAAACCCTGACTGATGGTTACAGACTTGGTGACCCACAGGTGACCTCTAGCCTGTAAAGAATCTAGCTTTGGGCTCTAGGACTTCTGGAGGTCAAGAGAGCGATCCCCCATCTCAGCGGTGCCACGGCTGCATGGCAGTGACCAGAGATCTACGTGTTCTCCTAAATTCCTGAGTCTTATTTAGACTCTTGTGGTTTATATACATAGGGCATTGTGCATAGCAGGTGTGTGAGTTCATTCGTTAAGTGTTCGCTGCGGGCCTACTGTGTGCCAGACCCTGTGCTGGGACCTGGGGACCCCTCAGTGAACTAGAGGATGTGGTCACTGCCTTCAGGGAGCCGACGGCCAGGTGGGGAAGGACAGATGATGAACAGATAATCTAGATAATTCCAGATGGTGGGAATGCTATAAAGAAAAGGAAGATGGTGGTGGGGGAGTGATAGAGAACACTTGGGTGGCCACTTTAGCTAGGATGGTCCAGGTGTCATTTGAGGAGGTGGCATTTGAGATCCCAATGGTGCAGAGTTGCCAGGCTTCGGGCAAGAGTGTTCCAGGCAGAAAGAAGACAAGAGCAAAGTCTGAGAGGTAGAAACAGGCTTGGCAAATCTAAGGAGCAGGTAGCAGGCCAGTGAGAAAGGCAGGGTCACATTGGTGGACCCTTGAAGGCTGTAACGAAGTGTTGGATTTCATTCCTAGTGTAGCAGGACACCACTGAGAGTTTAAGCCATGGTGTGACACAATCTGATTTGCATTTTGATTGTAAAGACATTTATTGAGCATTTACTGTATGGTGAGACCATACCTATTAAATCATTTAATTAAGAACTCCATGAGCTAAGGACTGTAATTAATTCCACCTCAACAGATGAGGAAACCAAGGCACAGAGAGTTCAGCTAGCTTGCCCCAGTTCACAGCTGGAAATGCAGAGCCAGGGTTCAAGTCCAGTCTGCCTGGCTTGAGCCTGTAGCCTTGACCCTGGGCCATGCTGCTCCCTGGGAGGTCGCTGGGTGCAGAACTGGGGCCAGAGTGGAGGTGGGAGGTCAGTGGAAGCTCCTTCAGCTGAAATCCCGCCTGCCGGGTGTCTCTCAGGGTCTGGGGTCCCCCTCTCATCCCGGGCCCCGCTGGCCCAGCGGTCCAGCACGTCTCAGAGCGTCTGCCTCCCTGCTGTGAGCTGCCTCCCACAGGCTCTGTCCGTGTCTTGCAGAAGGACAAGTTCTGCGTATATGAAGAGTACTGCAGCAACCACGAGAAGGCCCTGCGGCTGCTTGTGGAGCTGAACAAGATCCCCACCGTGCGCGCTTTCCTCCTGGTAAGTCAGCCGCAGCCCCAGCCCCGCCGCCCGCTGCCTCAGCTGGCCGGTCCGCACAGGCCCACGCCGCCTGGCCCCCGCTCGGCTCGGGCGGCCTGGGTGCAGCAGAGACATGCTCTGTGAAGGCCCGATGGTGACTCACTTTTGCCTCACTTACAGCCCCTGTCGCAACAACTCTACTCTGCTACTATAGCGTGAAAGCAGCCATTGGTAATATATAAGAAATGAGCTGTGTTCCAACCAAACTTTATTTATAAAAGGAGATATAGGGGCTGGATTGGCCCTAGGGCCAATTTGACCAATTCCTGGTTTAAAGTAATGATCCTGATAAAACTGGTAACGACAGTAGTAGTAAATATATTATTGTGTGTGTGTGTGTGTATGTTAGTTGCTCAGTCGTGTCCGACTCTTCGCAACCCTATGGACTGTAGCCTGCCTGTCTCCTCTGTCCGTGTCTGTTCCCAGGCAAGAGTGCTGCAGTGGTTGCCATTTCCTTCTTCAGGGGATCTTCCCGACGCAGGGCTTGAACCCAGGTCTCCTGCATTGCAGGCAGATTCTTTACTGTCTGAGCTATCAGGAAAGCCACAATTATATTATTAGGATTATTAATTGTAAGTGGAAGAAAATCTGGTTAAAATTGGCTTAAGGGAAAAAAAAATTACTAGTTCACTTCTCTGGGAAGTTTAAGACCTAAAACAGCTTCAGGTATAGCAGAGTCTGGGCGTTCCAGTGACACCACCAGCAGTGTCTCTTGGTTCTGCTTTTCTCACCTGGGCTCCGTTGCCAGGCAGGCTTTCCTCATGAGGTGGCAGTGTGGCCTTTAGCAGCTCCATGCCTGTGCCTCTCATAGCCAAGCAACTCCAGGATGAAGAGGGCTTGGTTGTGTCCAGCACTTTGTGACCCCATGGACTGTAGCCCGCCAGGCTCCTCTGTCCATGGGGATTCTCCAAGCAAGGATACTGGAGTGGGTTGCCATTTCCTTCTCCAGAATATCTTCCCAACCCAGGGATCAAACCTGTGTCTCCTACATTGCAGGAAGATTCTTTACCAACTGAGCTACGAGGGAAGCCCCTTTAAATAAGGTAGACATTGTATTTCTCTCCTAATGTGGAAATAGACAATCTAGGGCTATTATAGGGGCCCCAATGTCGGGATCAGTGTCCCAGTGTATGCCCTCATCATCGATATGGTCTAAGATGACATCGCACCACTTCCACACTGCAGGTAGTAAGATGCGGGATGGATGGAAAGAAGGGCCGGCCCCTCCCCTTCTCTGGGCACCGTGGGAAGCTGCACACAGCTCTTCTCACATCCCACTGGCCAGAGCTTAGTCACATGGCCATCCCTAGCTGCAAGGGAGGCTGGGAACTCTAAGCTTTGTTCTGGGCAGCCCTGTGCCTAGCTGAAAGTTTATTTGCTATGGAAGAAGAATGAATTCAGGGTCACCACCTAGATGTTGCCACAAGTCTTTTTGATGACTCCAAAATATTAAGTGACTTTCTGAGAGTACATACTTGAAAAGTGATTGTGCTTCTCATGGGTTTGGCTCTTTATTTTTTGACTCTGAGTTCCCTGCTCATTCAGTCACAGACCACCCCAGCCTCCACCAAGCCCCCACACTATTTTATTGCCTGAAAGCAGACACAGGATTCAGCACACAAAAGTAAACAGTCAACTGACCTGGCATAAAGCGTCTTAACCACATGCCCAGAGAGCTAAACTATGTAATGCAATTCTTAACTGCACTTTGCCCGAGTGCACAGTCTCCAATAATGTATTTCCGGGATTTGAGTCATGATGTATGTTTCCTTCACTAGTGAGCTGGTGTTGCTTGGCCCAGTTCCAGTGAGCATCTGAGGCAGGACAGATTGGTCAACTGATTTCCTCTTTTGTCCCAAGCATCTTAAGCGTTCAGGACTGATGATGCTTTTTGTTGCTGGTATCTTCATCTTTCCTTTTCCACTTTTCCACTCATATTCAGAAGTGACACAAAGCAAAATTAAGTCAGGCCGTGTAAGATCACACACGTGGGTATGTTTCTGTGATTGACCCAAAACTCAGTAATGTTCCAGTTGCCTGGGTTCTGGACTCCCCGAGTCCCACCTTCTGGGCTCAGCTGTGTCTTGGGAAGCAGGAAGATGTCAGGAAGTTGTTTTCAGGGGTTTGGGACAAAAGGGACTCCCTTCTTTCCCCTTCCTCTCTCTCCTGCAGTCTTCCTGGTGGCCGGGCTGCCCTTTTCCTAGCAGCAGCCAGGCGGGCCGGGTTGGGCAGGGGGAGGAGGTGTGGGCGCCAGCACACACACCATCTGTTTCCCTCCTTGCTGGCATCTCCCGGCTTCTGGCCACCTGCAGAAGAGCCGTCTCGAGCCTATTATGGGATGTTAAGGCACTGGGAACAGACACCATCTGCTTTCCATTCATGATGTGCTGTGCACTAGTGGAGAGATGGGGTGGGGAGTTCATCTCTCTGTGCCTCAGTTTCTTGTCTGTAAAATGGGGATAATGGATTCACTTATTCATTCACCAGTTTCATTTTGAGTTGCCTGACATGTGGTCAGGATCATTCTAAGTCCTGGGGATACAACAGTGACCAAGGCAAGAAGAGTCCCTGCTCTCATGGAATGGCCATTCTCATTGGGGAGATTTCCATGGTATGTCATGTGGCATTAAGTCCTCTGCAGGAAATAAAGTAAGTTAAGGACGACAGGATGTTTTTGGGTGGCAGCTGCTATTTTAGATGGCTCTTTGGATAAACAGCATCTTAGGTGACATTTAAGCAGAAACCTGGATAAAATTAAGAGTGAGAGACAAGTCGTATCTGGAGGGAAAGTATTCTAGGTAGAGGATTGCAAGTGCCAAGGTCCTGAGGCCTGCGTGTGTTTGAGGAATAGCGAGAAGGGCACGGTGGTTGTATTGGAGAGTTTGAGAGGAAAAGTAGGACGCGGGGTAGGAGAAAGATTGAAAGAGACCAGATAATGAGGGAGCATCTAGACAATGGAACGAATCTGAGATTTTTAGAAAGCTTTTTTTATTGCCGTGTAGCATACGTGCAGTGAATGTACTCACAGCATAATGAATTCTCCCATATGTGTGCTCCCGTGGAGCCACCCCCGAGATCAAGATTTAGAACCCTTCCGTCACTCCGGAAAGCGCCCTCCTCCATCCCCTTTCCCAGTCATGCCCCTCTGTGCAGCCAGAGGTGACCTCTGTGCCAGGTTCTCTCACGAAAGGTTAGTTTTGCCTGTTCTAGAATGGTTCACGAATGGAGTCACAAGGAGGCTTTGTGTCTGCCTTCTTTCGCTCCGCAGAACGTCTGTGAGATGCGTCCAGGTTGGAGCATGTGGCAGTCCTTTCAATAGAATATTCAATTTTAGTCTGAGTGGGATGCAAACCACGGGATGGTTCTGAGCAGAGGAGTGACGTGCACTCATCTGCATTTTGGACGGCTCTCCTTGGCCCTGTGACGGTGGAAGCTGGGCGGAGACCAGGCTGGGGGCTTGTGTGGGTTGCCCTTGGCTGCTGTTACAATGCTTACAAGCTGGGTGGCTTAGAACGGAATGATTCTCTCACACTGCTGCAGCCCGAAGTCTCAGACCACGGCGTCGGCAGAGCTATGCTCCCTTCGATGGCCCCCGGCAGGACCTTGCCTTTGCTCTGCTAGCTTCTGGTGGCCTCACGTGTTTCTGCCTTGTGGAACATACCTTCAGCCTCTGGCTCCCTCTTCACTTGTCTGCCTTCTCTGTGTCCTGTCCTCCTCTTTTAGGCGCACGGAGCTGGTTGGTTTCAGGCCCACCCTAATCCCGAATGAGAATGACCTCATCTTAATTTAACTAATTATATCTGTGAAGACCTTATTTCAAAAGAAGGTCACATTTTGAGACTCCGGGTGGGCGGGACACTTGGGGGGTGGGGCATGATTCAGTCCCCTTCGAGGGCTGCTGCACCCATCCAGGCAAGAGATGATGGTGGTGAAGATGGGGTGGTAGTGTCTGAGGGCTCCGTCATCCAGCCGTGTCCGACTTTGTGACCCCATGGACTGTAGTCCGCCAGGCTCCTCTGTCTGTTATTATTCCAGGCAAGAATACTGCAGTGGGTTGCCATTTCCTTCTCCAGGGAATCTTCCCCACCCAGGGATTGAACCTACATCTCCTACATCTCCAGCATTGGCAGGCAGATTCTTTACCACTGAGCCACCTGGGAAGCCCATATTATATATTAATATACTATATATCACCAAGATATATAGGTAATATTGGCTATCAAAAAGTTTTACCACTCTGAAAAAAAACTTTGAGTTTGAGAGGTAGTTGGATTCATGTAGCATCCGATTGTCCAGCTGACAACATTTGCTGTGTGCTTGGCTTTGGTGTATTAATGAACGAGAGGACTCAAAGATGACTCCAGGGTTTGGAGCCCAAACAGCTGGAAGAGTGGAGATATGATTTCCTGAAATGGTGAAGGCTGAGTAGGAGCCAGGATGAGAGGTAAATAGAAAAGAATTTCCTTTTGGATATATATGAGGTTTACGATGCCTGTTAGATTCCCAGGTGGGAATTTGGGCCAGAATCAGAGATTTGAGTCTGGGGTGTAGGGAACCGAGGGGCCAGGCTGGAGATAGAAAGCTGAGTGTTTCTTCATAAAGGACAGTTAAAGAGGTGAGAGTCATGGTTCTGGATGAGGTAAGGTGGGGATAAGTGTGGGTGGATAGGAGGACCTGGGACCACGCCGGGCACAGCTGCCGTTAGAAGGTTGGGAAGAGGCTGAGGATGACACATCACCTGGATCAGTTCTGTGGATTAGGATGGTTTAAAGAGAGGATTCTCAAAAGTTCTTCCCATACTGCCCGGGGCATAATCTTATTAGAATAGTGAATAGCTCTGTGTGTGCTTGCTTTTTTTTTTTTTAATGAAAATAAAGTGAAACAATAATCTAGGATGTTTGGGGTGAAGAGGAGGTGGTGGCTGTGACAGTCCTGTGAAAACTTCTCGATCCTGAACAAAGAGCCAGGCCTTTCTCCCGCCAAGCCCTGGGGGCGTCTGGAAAGCAGCCTCCACTCCCAGTCCCCCTCTCTCTGCCCAGAGCTGACATCACCAGGGCAGCCTGTGGGGACCGCTGGCTCGGAGGACAAAGGCCCGAGTGTGAACGGCATAGGGCCTGGCATATCCCAGCTGCTGCAGCCCCAACCCCTGGTCTGTGCCAGGCGTAGATGTGGGGCTGGGAGCCATGCAGCTCCTGCCAGAGCAGGGCCCCAGGGTCCCTGGGACTCTGCTTCTCCAAGGAGAACATCTGCAAAGGTCCCCGAGAGGCAGTGGACGCAGATCTGAGACTTGGGCCAGTGCTTCCGGCTCTTGAGTGCCAGTTTGCCCATTTGGAATGGGGATCTGGTTCATTCTGGGGCTGTGAGCATAAACTTTACTTGTGGGTGAAGCCAAGACGCAGAACCTTAAGCATGGTCAGCACATGGTAAACGTTCTCTAGTCTTATCTGCCCTTGACTGTACGGCAGGGAATTTGCCTGCTTTCTTGAGCAGTTCCCCAGTGCTTGGAACCGTGTCCAGCGCATAGTAAGCACACATTGTGTATCTGTAGAATGAATGAATGATTGATAGGATGGGAATCCCTTTTCCCAGGAGTCCTGTTCCATTTCCAGTCTGCTAGCATGCTGTTGAGGAGGAAGGCTGAGACCCCTTCATTGCTGGATGTGCTGGCAGTTTGTTCATTCCCTCATTCGTTCATTCATTCATTCACTGGGCCGTGGTGGGCCGTGGTGAGCCCTAGCGACTGGACTAGGAACTATGACTTGGCTAGGGACAGCCCCTCATTAGGGACTTTGAGGGGTGTGGTGAGAGACCGTGGTAGACTTGTAACTTAGTACATTTCTTTCCCATGCATGACTCTCTGCTTTAGTACCCATAGATTCTCTGTAAAGAATGTCTGGTTTTGTTTTGTGTGTTGTTCAAAGCTTTATATAAATGAGTTCACACCATACATATTCTTGTTTCCTTTTTTCGCTCAAGAGCATGTTTTTGAGGTTCACCCATATTGCTATAGAGAGCTTTAGTTCTCCCGTTTTCATGAGTGCGTAGTGTACCATTGTAGAAATCTGCAAACATTTTTCAGGTTGCTTTCTGTTGTTTGCTGCTACAAACAAGGCAGTTTTGAGTGTCCATGTTCCTGTGTCCTAGTGCGTGTGTGTGTGTTTCTGTAGATCAGGGGTTGGGGGACTTTTCTGTAAAAGGTCAGAGAGTAAATATTTTGGGTTTTGCAATTATAAGGTCTCTTCTACAGTTACTCAGCCTTGCCATTATAGCTTGTTTGCAGTCACGGACAGTATGTAAACAAATGAGTATGGCTGTGTTCCAATAAGAAATTTAATTGACAAAACAGGATTTGGCCCCGGGGCTAAAATTTGTCAACTTCTGATCTAGGGTTTGTGCTGGACTGTAGACCTTACAAATTTCTTCCTGTCCTCTGTGTTAAGTTGCTTCCAAAGTGTTTGCATATAGCTCCATTTTGCAAGCGCTTCCCACGATTATTTGAGGGTGACCAGACTCCTTGGCTGTCCTTGGTGAGTTCTGATGAAGGTCTCCTGTCTCTTTGCAGAGCTGCATGCTTCTCGGAGGCCGGAAGACCACGGACATCCCTCTGGAGGGCTACCTGTTGTCTCCTATTCAGAGGATCTGCAAGTACCCCCTCCTCCTCAAGGTGAGTCGTTCCCCCTATTCCTTTGGCCAATTCTTTAAAAAAGAATTCTACTGGAGTATAATTGCTTTACAACTTAGTGTCTTCCCCTGATTTTGAACCGACAGAAAATTCAGCTCTGTCAGGCTTAAGCAAAACATAAAGCTTGCTGGTTTAAGTAGCTGAGAAGCCTAGGGGCGACATTAGTTTTGGGCCGGGCTGCATCCAAGCCAGGGCCCTGCCACTTTCTTTCTGGTTCAGTTCTGCTTCCCACCTTTCAGCTTTCTTTTCAGTGTGGTAGCAAGTGGCTGTATTTGCTGCAGCCTTGCACCCTATCCAGTTCAAAGACAGTGGGGAAGAGAGAGCCTCATTTCCAGCAGCTCTGACCAAAGTCCTGAGAGTCATTCAGGTTTTAGCCATCTATGGCCAGGAGAGTGCGACATTAGGAATAACTTGGGCCTGAGTCACAGTGCTTGAATTTGAACCAATTACAGTAAGTCTTTGCTTGTGTTATTTATTTGCCTCTCATTTGCCTGGACTTGGACACCTGGACTTGGGACCCCTGACCCCATCATGATGAGCTCTGATTGGCTGAGATATGATCCAATAACAGTGAGCAGGGCAGTGTCATGTTCTGATTGGCAGAGACCAGAGTCAAGTGCTCCACCCCTGAACCATTCACCCTGAGCAAGTGAGTTCTGATTGGCAGAGACCAGAGTCAAGTGCTCCACCCCTGAACCATTCACCCTGAGCAAGTGAGTTCTGATTGGCACAGACTTGTGTCATGTGCTCCAACCAATCCCTGGATTGCACAGGCCACAAGTCCAGTGATGGAGAGAGAGGGAGCCCCTCACCGAAGTCTGGGTTCTTTGTGGATGAGGGGTTGGGGTGGGGAGATGGGGCAGGGAGATGCTGGGTGGGTGAACCAGAGCCATCCACACCTCGGCTGTCTCCTTCCCCGCCCACCCACATTTGACTTAGCCTTGGTCAGGCAGTCCAGGGGAAGGTGTGCTGCTTGCGTGGGAGCCTGAGAAGCCTTGATTATCAGCTTCGGATTTGGCTTCTGGGCAGGTCCCCGGCTGGGAGGATGGCTCTGCCACCATCTACTGCTTTCAGCCCAGGGTTTTCGGCCCTTAGACATGGTGGCTGTTGGCCTGGGCTTGCCCTGGCTCCATCCTGAAGGCCTTATGTCTGACAGCTGTTCTCTGGGGTCCCTGCTGGTGGATTAATTTGGCTGGTGGTGCCTCATTCACACACCTGCTCGCTGGGGCCACACACGTCTTTGCTCCATGAACTGAAAGGGAGAGGGAAGGGGGGGAAAGTACTGAGATGGCCAGAAAGTTTCTTCAGGTTTTTCCGTGATATGTAATGGAAAAATTCAAGTGAATTTTTGGCCAGCCTGATACCAGGGTATTCTTGAACAAACCTTTCTGCTGGAGGCGATGGGTGACCCTTGAGCCTCTGAGTTGGGACCAGACCCTTTCAAGGGCTATCCACTCTGCCTGTGAACACAGACCTTTAACGTGTATAGCGGTGGGTGGTGGCACCCAGCTCTCCCTATGCTTCCTCTTGCCTGCTGCTGTTTGTCTGCCCCGGGAATCCGGAAGAACCATCTACAGTTGTTGCAGCTGCTTTGATCCCCAAACAGATGTTGGAAATGCCATACGAGGCTCACCTCTTCACCCTGGTGCTGAAGAAGCCCCAGGTGGAACTTGTAAACTGGTAACCTGTAGACTGCAGTGGACCTGCAGATGGGCTTTGTTTGATGTCTTTGGTGTGTTTGCCAAACTTGAATCAGTTGCTGGTGTCCAGGAGTTAGCGTTCTGCAGTGGTTCAGGGCAGGGGCTGGCAAAACTGTGGCCTGTGTGCCAAAATCCAGCTCATGGGCTGTTTTTGTACAATCCGCGGGCTAAGAATGGTGTTTGCATTTTTTTAAAGGTTGTTAAAAAAGCCCCCAAGACAAACAAAGAAGAATATGTGACAGAGACCGGATGTGGCCAGGAAAGCCTGAAATATTTACAATCTGGCCCTTTATAGAGAAAATTTGCTGACCCCTGGATGAGGGCCAGGAACTGCAGTCACAGGCTGTCTGGGTTTGAATCCTGGGTCTGCCATTTACTGGCTGCGTAAACTTGGGGCTTTCCTGTGCCTCAGTTTCCCATCTGTAACACAGTGTTAGTATCAATACAAACAGGTAGGGTTGATACTGTGATCAAACATTTATTTACTTAATTCTTAACTCAATGAGGTAGGCACTGGGATCAGCCTCATTTTTGAGATGAGGCCCAGAGACAGAGAAAGGAAGTGGCCTGTTTAAGGCCACACATTAGGTAAGCAGCAGGGGCCATGGTTGGAACCCGGGCAGTCAGAGTCTAGAGTTCTGCCTCCTAACCGTCAGGCTACACGGCCTGTTGAGAAGCACTTTGGAGAGTCTAAACTGCCAAAGCGCTGGTGTGTCGGGGGTGCTGGCCTTCTCAGTTCCCTAGATGGGGTCTGGGGAAGGTTGGTAGCCTTGTGTTTTGTGGCTCAGTGGCTGGTCTGCCCCTTCTTTCCTGGATTTCAAATCCTTGAATATGTGACCACTTAGAAGCATCACCAGCTATAGCCCCAGACCCCAGCCAAGGTTGCCTAGGGATTAATGCTTGGTTTCTGGACCTTGGGAAAGTCTAGGACCCCAGTGGCCACTCGGAAAGGCAGTTTCTGTCTTTTAACAAGCCGGGGGGCTGGACCTCTGTCTCCCCAGGGCCTCTAAGCTCACCATGTGAAGTCCAGGTGGGTCTGGGACCTGCTAAGCCCCAGGGGCTGCAGTTTAGTCTGGCGGAGATGCTGGGCTCTGATTTCCCTGAGCAGAGAGAAACAGAACCCACTGGCAACTGATGCAGGATTAACTGCCCACAGGAAACAGTGAGGAAGCAGGGCTGTGGGTTTCCCTCCAGACCAAATGGCTGTTTACACTCCCTGTTTCCTCCGTCTCCAGCTGTGTTTATCCGGGGCTCAGAGAGCACTGGGGACCAGCCAGCAGGGCCCGAGATTCCGTGGGGCCATGCCATGCTCCCCGCCCGGCACAATTGCTCAGAGTGTCCTGGCCTTTGGCACCCGCAGCTGGAATGTTTGCATCAGAAAACAGCTGGGGTGGAGGGGAACTCTTCGTACCCCTCCTGAGTTCCTCCGTCCTGTCACATTTTCCAGCGGATTTCCAAAGATGATCCCACGAGCGTGGGGCAGCTGAGCCCCAACCCTCTGTCCTGCCCCCACCCCCTCCGCCTCTGACGCCCTCGCAGCTGTCCCCGTGGCCTTCTGTCTGAGCCCCCTTGTTAGAGCTGAACTTTGAATTGAGGAGGCGAACAGGGTTGAGGAGCCTGGGTGGGAAGGAGGAAGAAGCGAGAATGAAAGCCTCTTTTGGGAACTGCCCCAAAAAGCTGAACTTGAATGTTGCCTAAGAATAGCCGGAACATTCTATTTCAGCCTGCAGCCCAGGCCTGGGATAGACAGTTGGCATTTTCAGGCTTTGTTGAGTTTTCCATCAACGTTTCCAGGAAAATGATTCAGGCTTGGGGTGATGCCCCCGGGGCTCAGCTGGCAGGTGCCCGAGGGGAGACCCACTGACCCTGACCCTTGTAGGTGTCGCTGGATGACGTGTGTATCTTACGTTGCTTGCTGCACACCAGCTTCTGCCACAACTCAGGACTGCAGTCACGAGCAAGACAGACCCAGGGCCTGGCCCTCGGAGCTCTCAGTCTGGGACTGGACCCATGTCCGTAGTGGAAGCAGGGTTGAGGCCAGCAGGGGGCCAAGTGAGGGTGCCCATCGGCTTCAAGGGGACAGCTGCCCCTCCAGCCCCCTCTTCGCTTTGTCTCCTGCCTCTCTGACCCCTCCCCCTCAGTCTCCTTTGCTGCTTCCTCACCTTCTAGGCCTCCAAGCATAGGTGGGCCCCAGCCTCTGTCCAGGGGCCTTTCTCCATCTGCACTTGTGTCTGCAGCAGCCTCGACCATTCTGTGCCCCTCCTTCTTAAAGTAGATTCAACAGTTGTGCAACCATCACCAGCACAGTAATTTTAGAACATTTTCATCACTCCCGAGAGAAACTGGATCCACGAGCAGCCACTTCCCTTTCCCTTCCTCCCCCCCCCAGACCCCCAGTAAGCACTCATTTACTTTCTGCTCCTGCGATTTTGCCTACTCTGGACATTTCGTGTGAGTGCAGTCGTATGAAGTGTAGTTTCTCGTGTCTGGCTCCTTTCACACAGCAGAGTGTCTTCAAGGCTCATCCACGTCGTCGTGTCCATCACATCTTTATTCCTTTTTATGATGGAATGACATTCCCTTGTGTGGGGATACCGCGTTCTGTGTATCCGTTCATCAGTTGAAGGGTGCTTGGGTTGTTTCCACTTTCTGGCTTTTGTGAATAGTGCTGCTGTGAACATCCACGTAGAAGTTTCGGGGTGGACATTCCCATGGCTTTAGACCCCCATCTCTGCCCAGTGACTTCCAGTCTGCACCTCTCGCCTAAACTGTGGGCTTGTTTGTCTTGCCACTGGCTTCTCCACCTGAATGTCTCATAGGCCTTTTCTGCCTACCACATCTGAAACCAAAGGCTGGACTCTCCCCTTCCTCCAGGCCTGTCTTCCTTCCTACCTACCCCTTGTCCTCACCTCCGTAAGGAGTCTGATCAGACCTCTTGGGCGCAAACAGGGAGCCGTCTTCTGGGACCACTGCTTCAGGGCTGCTGTGTCAGGGATGCTGTTCAGAGTCTCTGCTCCAGGTAGAGCCTTGGGGCCCTGCACAGACTCTGGTGTTTTCTGCACCTCCCACGCCTGTTGGCGTGGTGATGGAGCTGTCACCCACACACAGCCTGAGCACCTCGCCATTCGGTTGTCACCTCTGTTTGCTTGGCCATCAGGGGTGGGGTGGCCCTGGGGATGGTCTGTGGTCCATCACTAAGGCGCTGTTGGCATCAGTTCTTGGTGCCAGGGGATGACTGGGGAGGGGTGTGTTTCTCAGAGCATGGGCCATGTACCACTTGCA